CACAACTGTCCCATAGGATTTCCAAGGCTGTAAGTTTTTATGGAAGCATACTGCTATAGCTTACTTCCAAGGAGCGGCTGGTGGGTTCGAACTGCTGACCTTTCAGTTAGCAGCCTAGTACTTACAAACTTGCAAATGTTACTCAGTACAAATCCTAAGTGATACATGTTTAGGATTGCAAACTTACCTAGTAACTATACTTTACTCTCATGTAGCCCTTGTTCACTTACAAAATACTTTCATTTTATTATCTCAGTGAAGAGATGAAAGACGGAAAGAAGGAAGGAGAGGAAAGGGAGGGAAAATATTGTTCCAGATTAAGAAATTGAAGTTCAGAGGGGTTCAGTAATTTACCAAAACTGGCATGCCAATAAGAAGTAAAACAAAAACAAAAACAAAACTCACTACTGTCGAGTCGGACCTGACTCATAGTGTCCCCTCCTTGGGTTTCCGAGGCGGTACCACTACTGAAGTAGATTGCCAAACCTTCCTTCCGAGGAGTGGCCAGTGGGTTTGAACCGCCACCCTTCTGCTTAACAATCAAATGCCTTAAGCACTATGCCACCAGAGCTCCTAGTAAGTAGTAAGAAGCAAATCTGTTTCAAATCCAAGTTTTTAATTCTAAGTCCCGTGCTCTGTCTACTATGTTTTTGTGGTGTGCTATCAAGTTGATGCCAACTCATAGCGACTCTACATGACAGATTAGAACTGGCCCATAGGGTTTCCTAAAGTGTAAATCTTTACAGAAACAGTTCACCAGGTCTTTTCTTCCACAGAGCAGCTGGTGGGTTTGAACCTTTTCTGCCAGCAGCCGAGTGATTAACCATTTCACTACCTGGGTTCCTTCTGTCTACTATACCATCTTGATAGTCTGGAAGCCATTGGCCTGCAGTAGTGAGAACACAAACTCTCAAGCTAATTACACATCAAGTGTTAACAGTATCATTGCTAAGATTTTAGGCTCTGGAGGCAAGACTGCCTGAGTTCCAGTCTGTGATTTAGTTATTGTGCTTCTCCCTGCCTCAGTTTGTTTCTTCATCTGCAAAATGGGAATAAAACAGAACATACTCATGGGCTTGTTGAGAGAATTGAGATTACCCAGGTAAATGCCTGTGGGCTCATAGTAAGAGCAGAATACATTTTGATTCTTAATACTATATCTAGTTTCATTCCTAGCTCTACCATGCAAATGCTGGGGACTTTGACTACCTAATCACTGTATCTCTTCTTTTAAAATAAGGCTAATACTACCAGGCTCAGAGTTGTAAGGATTAAAATATGATAATTTTCCCACCATGCATGCCAAATAAATGCTAGCCATGGTTATTACGTAAATTCTCTGAGGGTGGAAAATAGACCTTATCCATCTCCATATCCTTCTACTGCAATGATTTCAACTCCCTTCCCACCACCCTTTTTAAAAATTAAGATATTTTGTGTTTTTGATGAAAGTTTATGCAGTAAATTAGGTTCTCATTTAACAATTTCCACACAGTTTGCTCGCCGACTTAGGTTACATTTTTCACAACGTGTCAACATTCTCATTATTTCTATTCTGGTTATTCCGTTTCCAGTCTTCTAGTTTCCTTGTTTCTTTATATCCTCATCTTTGCTTCAAAGTAATTGTTTACAGTTTGGTCTCATGCAGATGATTTTTTTAAAGAGCACAGTACCCACAGGTCATATTCTTTATTTTGTGAGTCAGTCTGTTTTTAGAGAAGAGATGACCTCGTGAAATAGCTTTTGTTCAAGGTTTAGAGCACCTCAGGGAGATAGTCTCAGGGAGTCCTCTAGTCTCAACAAGCCCAGTAAATCCGAACTAAAAAGTTTAAAACAATTTGAGTTCTGTTCCACATTTTTCTCCCATTCTGATCAGAACGGTTGGTAGCAGTAGCTGGGCACCATCCAGTTCTTCTGGTCTCAGGGTAGATGAGGTCATGGTTCACGGCGACCATTATTCTTGTGAACTTGTTTCTTCTCTGAGTCTATAACTTCCTTCTTTCTCTTTTACTCCTGATTCATTGAGGTCTCAACCCATCCCCCTTTTTTTAAATCCAGTAGAATTTTTGTGTTCCCCAAGTGATTAAATTAAACAAACAAAAGAGCTACCACCCCAGGATCTCCACCACCCACTCTCCCTACCCCCAAACTTCAAGGACCACTTTCTGAAAACTATTGACCACAGATTCTGACGCTCAATAGAGATGCGCTGGAAGTGTTTGTTGAATGAATGAATGAATGGATCCTGCTATGAAACTTTAAGTGCATACTTTTCTGACCATTTTGGTCAACTACAATCACAGTCATCAGCAATCACTTTTGGAGGAAAAAAGATTCCATTTTACCCACAAGAATGTCCACTTAAGGTGTGAAGAAATAAAGCATCGGGACTTGCAATTGACAGTTGTCTCTGCAGGCTGGCAGTGAGATTAACTGGCAGCCACCAGGAACAGCTGAATGATTTTAGGCTTCGAGAGGACAAAGAGAAAGAAAGAGAGCAATCTGAGGGCTGGAATGGAGAATTGTGGGGAGATGAAGTGTGTAAGCTGGCATCATGTGCTTGAAGAGCAGTCTGGAATGCCTGGCTGAAAACCAGAGATGTGATTCTATAAGCCAGGGGTTGAGAAGCTATGGGCTACAAGCCAAATCTGGCCTGTGATCAGTTTTTGTAAATAAAGTTTTATTGGAACACAGCTACAACCATTTGTTAATGGATTATATATGGTTGCTTTCACCACACAACAGAGTTGAGTAGTTACAACAGAAAACCATCTCAGCTGTAAAGTCTAAAATAATTATTATCTGGCCCTTATCAGAAAAATTTCCCACCTCCTGCATAGGCGATGGGAAGCCACCAAAAGTTCTTGAGCAGGAAAGGGATGCAATGAAGATGGTGTTCTTTTGGGAGGAGTAATTCAGCAGTAGGTAGGCTGGAGCTGGGACAAGGCCGTTGAGGAAATGGACTGCAGTGGTTGTGACAAATCTTGACAGCCATGTCCCCCATGACTGAAGTATGTTGTTGTTGTTGTTGTT